TTTTTTTTTTTATATCAATTCGCCGGAACTATTCTTAATTTTGGGTAGGAACTCCAGAACTCTTCGGGGTGCATTCGGAACTGTGATCAAAATTTCATTTTTTGTAAAATGAGGTGCCAACTTCACAGAGGTCCATCGTATTCCATCGTATGTTACTCCGGCGTTTGTTAATTCTGATTTTTAATTTTCTCTTAGTCTGATCAACATAAGTTGCGTCACAATTGCATTTTATTCTATAAACCACGTTCTTTTTTATTTCTTGTGGAATAATTTTATCAAAGTTTATTTTTATGAACTTTGATAAAATTGTTCAATTTATTAACGCAAAAAAAGGATGCTTTGTAATTTATACCATTAACAGTACTTTTGAATCTATCAGAAAAACCCTTTATATAAGGAATTGTAAACCAATTAATCTCTTGTTTCTTAAGAAATTGTCATTATTTCTATTATGTTGTCTAGGTTTACATATTATTGAGTTAATTCTTTTTCTGATATTCTCAAAAATAAATTTTAATGGAAAGTCATTAAGTAATAGTGTATCAATAATAAATTTTTCATATGAAAATCTGGATGTGAAAGTAAAAAAGCTTTATCGACTAAACCATAGATTATACCTATTTTCTGTGACATGAGGTGCTGAGACAAATAATTCAAAATTCTACCTGAATGGTTATATACTTGATTAATTTTGTAAGTTTTATCAAACATAAGGAGTCGTTAATTCAATTAATTTGTTGATATTTTATTCTTTGATAATCTCAATAAACTTAATTGTTTTATCAGAACATAGGATGGTCTACCTGCTTTACTTAAAAAGAATGTTGTATATAGGATTAACTGCCAAAATTGTGATGCCTTTTATGTTGGCCAAATAAAACGTACTTTAAAGACTAGAATCACCGAACACAAAAATGACATTCGTAAGAGAGGTGGCATTCTATCTGTAGTTAGCGAATATCGTATTAATTTTGATCATGAATTTGACTGGGATAGTGTTGATATAGTTGATTCGGAGAGATGGCTACGTCAAACAGCCAATCAATTATTTCAATAAATTTTACCGTAGCATCGCAGTCTTGAAATTCTTTTAAACCAACTTTTTTCAAAAATTTTATCGCATTAGCTACAGAAGCACTTAAAGTATGAGCAGCATATCGGACTTTCATTTTATTTTGCCACCACTCGACACACTGTGCATTTAATCTATTTTTAAATTTGAATGTTAATTGTTGCTGAACATTATGTAAATTTCTTATATAAGATCATTTTATTTGACCATCTACTGAATTAAAAATTCCATAATCGGCTAAAGCATTCCTACATAATTTTAACATGTGACATGCATCTAACAATATCCGTACGTTTTAATTCAGTGTTGTATGTGGAAAAGAGTTTTCAAGATCTGCGAAATTGTCTACAAAAATATTACATCCTAATTCTCTGAATACAGAGCAATTTACGCTGTCGCCATCACACGTTATTGAACGTACGCTTATTTGTACTTCTGCGGTTAAAATTAGAGCGGTTTCTATCAATTCCTTTAATATTGGAGCAGTTATAGAACGCTTGAAAAAATATGCAATGGGCCATTTCCATTTTCCGTTTAAACTGACTAATAAGAATACTAAAGCTTCCTTAGCTTCACTTTCATTTCTTTCTAATGTTATACCATTACCATAATCACAATATCCAACAAATTTATGTTCTTGTTCATCCCATATTATTTGCTGCCTGATAGCCATACTATCAAATACTAAATTACAGTCTCTGTCTTGCTCAGGAATATTTTTTAAACCGTCTAGCACCTGTCGTTGGAAACCGGGTGAGGCATTTACTGTTGAATTCCAATTTCTAATTGCAGATGGATGAGGTAATTTCAAGATTGTTCTATATAGAAAAAATAAAATATGAAAATTAACCGAAAATATTAATAAGTTTATACTCTTTTACAAAAAATAATTTTTTTAATTATTTTGAACCAAATCAAGTACTCGTTTTGTGAATTAAGATGAAATAAGTTTTTAGAAATACGCAAAAACAATAATTAAAAACTTCAAAGAAGTGTAGTATAAAACATAACATAGATAAATATAGCAAAAAATTAATTAATAAAGAACTAATTAATCGATTAATTAATTAAAAGTTATATGCAGCCAATCAGCGAAAATGTAATAAAGGTGAGTAATAAAACACACGCATCACACTAACTAAACCATAAAACATGGAATCAAACATTTCGTTTAGCCCAAAATATATGCAATTTGTATTACAAACATTAAAATTATTATGAGATTGGAAATAAGACCGTTTATGTTAGAAACATTACTTTAAATACAAAGCGCCACTACGGTCTAAATGTTAAGATGTTGAACTATATTTCATATATTCATATTAAATGAATTCATTTCAGAAATTATAATTGCGTACCGATATGGTTGTCGGACTTTCAATGTAATCAATCTGAAATATTAATAATCCTTCCTTTCCCAAATTTAAAAAACTATAATAAACTTATTGCGAAAAATATTATAATTTCTGAAATGAATTCATTTCATATGAATATATGTAATAGTTCAACATCTTAACATTTAGACTGTAGTATTTAAAGGCGCTTCGTATTTAAAATAATTAAAATTATAGGCATGCAAAAATTATAAGAAATAGAAATTACTGACCTACAAAATGCATAAGCTTTAGGAGAATGATAGTACAATGTAACAGCAAACTTTTTCACCTCCTCATCATATCGTCTTCCATGCACAGACTTACCCTGATTTTGTGTTTCATTGTTAATTAAAAAAAAATGATTTTTCAAAATCATGTTTTAAAATGTTATATGATGTTTTATTTAACATTTTTTTGATTTTAACTTGATCTAATAAATTTTTTACTTTATTATTTTTTCGTGTTACTTGTTTCCTTAATACTTTTAATTGTTTGTTTTTTGTAGCTAATTTTGTTGTTAATTTTGTTTTTTGTTCTTTAACGATACGTTTGAATATTGCTCCTTGATTTAGTAATTTTTCTTCTAAACGTTTCTCTAAACATTCTATTTTATATATTAATTCTTCATTTATTTTTTCTAACTGTTAGACTTTTAGTTTCAATATATCATTTTGCTCATATATTTCGCTTGTATTTGTATCATTTTGCTTATGTATTCTACTTATACTTATATCATTTACATCATTTTGCTCATGTATTTCACTTGCATTTATTTCGTTTGTTTCTATAAAAGTAAATAAGAATTATTAACAAAAATAAAAATAATACTATAATACATAGACATATGTAAAAACATACTGTGACCTAGTTTACAAATAGAATTTTGCATATTATTATTTTCTTCGAATTTCTGGACTTTGATTTTCAATACCTCATCTAATATATCTGAACTTTTCCGTTTTTTTATATCACTTATATTTATTACTTCTGTTTCTACAAAAATAAATAAGAATTATTAACAATGATGAAAATAATAATATTATATCATAGGCTCTATTCAACAAACTCAACAGTGGAGTGAGCGTATACCATATGGTACGTTCTTCTAAAAATCCGATTGGATAATCTAAAGACGAATTCACCAATAACAGCGAGCGCTTATGCAGCTGTTGAGTGTGGTGAATGCAGCCATAGATACACATAAAAACATACCTGTGTCTAGATTACATATGGAATTTTGTATTGCATAATGCGTCGTTTATCCTTGTTGCTCACCAAATGTTAAACAAGGACAATGGATGCATCATGCGCATCATGCGCGATACGGAACGCACCTTAGATTACATATGGAATTTTGTATTTCATTACTTTCTTCAGTTCCATGTTCAATTGTGTTTTTTTCAAATCTGTTATTTAATAAATCTGCTATTTAAAAAAAAA